ACGCTTGTGTCCGTCCACTGTTTATGAGCACTGTCCGTTTGCAATATATATATATATATATATATATATATATATATATATATATATATATATATATATATATATATATATATATATATATATATATATATATATATATATATATATATATATATATATATATAAGCTGTAAAAACAAATATTTTCCACTGAATAAAATTATAATCTTGATTGAATGGAGACCGATATTCATACATCATCACAATTTAATGAATCTTATATTTTGATGCATATTCAATTATATGTACGAGTATATAATACACATTTCCTTGGGCTGAAGTCACTGTTTGAAAGGCGATTCGGACACACGCTGCTAGACCCCCGAGCCGAGGAAAATTTAATGGTTTGATGGTATATCGCTTTGTTTACACTATATATAGGAATTATGGTTTAAATATAAATAAACTAATATGGAATATTTAAAAACTAAATTATTAATCACGTGACACCTGTATCTAAAGGAATATAACTGTGTGAAGGATCCTTGCTGGAAAAGATTTCAAAACAAATGAAACCAAACTCAGAGTCAAACATCCTCAGCAACTCATTAATTAGAGCGAATCCGAGTTTGCCGCTATTGAGCTTGAGCGGGTGGCTACTTAATATGTGTAGGCCAGGCAATTTCTGAGCTTGAAAGTGTTTGGTAAAAGATCTAGGGATACAAATGTCGCCTTGTGTTAGCATCCTCCAGTCTTGTTCGTGTTTAATAATAACAAATTATGTTAGGCTTTTTATTATACTTGACCATTTTTTTCCTCCGGAGAAAGACAGGGTTTTTTTCTGTTTCTTCTTTATACGAAGAGTGAGCAAATGATCGCCAATTCCTTTTATCTGGGACAATATACATATACAGTATATTTCAGTGGAATACTGTACATGTTTTTTATTCGTGGACTTCATTACAGGTGTAGGTGCAGGAGGCAGGTGTGTGGTGGTGTGGGCAGCGTGGTAGTAGAGTTAGAGTCGCTGTTCTCCCTGAACCAGCGGGCGCTGGAACACCTCTTGCAGGGGCTGTGGGGGGAGGCGACCTTCTCCTCCCGCGTTCTTCTTCTACACATCATCTCCAACAACAACTCCCTGGCTCTCAGGTGCTGCTATAACTGGCGTTTGTACTACTGACGCTATTTGTACAGTATTTATTAATATACAGGGCGTTTACCCAGTGTTCAAGACTCCACACACACACTGCTACACATACTTCCTCCTCATGTGTATATGATTGTACTCTCACGCGCCATAGTTTCGATGCGCCCTCTATCCCTACTCCTGGCTCGAGGGAAGTCGTAATCAGGGCTGCAAACCGAACGGTTCCTCTTGTATAGTAATGTTAAGTACAGTGATGGTAAATAAAGTGTTGTGAAGACACTAAAAAAACTGTATCTTGTATATATTCTCTCAAATATTACATCATGAACTGCTATTCGTACAATCCAGCGAAGCTTCGAGCTACCACATTGCACCACTGAACGATGAGTGGGGGGAAGTGAGAGGGTAGGGGGTGTAGTGGATTCCTTCCCTACAAACGCTGTTTGTCGCTGAGTAGCCGACCCCGCGAATTCCCCAGTGTATGCCTCGCGGTCTAGGTCAACCAGCGCCGCCTTACATGACGGAGGTCAACTATTAAGCCACGCCTACCTCCGCTATATAAGACCTGTCCTCGTGGTGACCTACCTCTCTCTTACTACCTACAGCCAGTCTTCAAGTAACACCACCTCCTCCACTCCTGCCTGGCGGCCCTCGCTCCCGCCGGCGACTATGCAGCCCTTCAAGCTGCCTGTCCTCCTCTGAGCACCCTCACCAACCAGCTCTCTCTACATCACGCTTGTAACCATGCTGCCTTCCCAGCACCAAGCTGCATTGTACATCCAATACAACATGTATTGAGAGTTTCCTTTCTCCATCCCATCCTGAGTGTGAACCAACATCATGTACCCCACAGGGGGACGTTCGGTAGGAAGCCAAAGCTACGACTTCCATCGAGTCAGGAGTAGGGGTAGAGGGTCCATCGAAACTATGGCGCATGAGTGTACATTAATGTCCCTTTAGTGAGTAACATTATCTGTAACTGGGTACAACAACCTCACACAGGTTCCTACAGGCGGCGAGGTTGTGGCAGCAGCCAGAGACCCGAGTGGTGGTGGTGGGTAGCAGGACAGGAGTGGAAGGTGTCCTCCTTCATGAGAGTGTCCGCAATACCCTCCACATAGTGTACCTCTCCCTCCACACCCGTCAGGAACCTACTTTTACCCAGAGGCTCTTGAAGACGAGAGAGGAAGGTAAGTTGTTTATACTATAACATGATGAGACTTAAGGTAAGAGTATTGGTGAAGTTAGAGTGTATTGGCCGAGGAGAAATCTTCCTGTAATTTGCATTGTCCATCACCAGGCAGTGTAGAGGAGGTGGTGGAGGTACACCGACGGTGTATGTACTGCAGAAGAGGGGAGGCAGACGTCCAGCTCCTACACGTATGGAACCTCACCTCTGGCGCTCAACTCGACCCCCTCTTATTACACGGTCTGTCTCGCCTCGGATCATTGTACAGTATCATTCAAGAATTACCACCATATGGAGATCTTGTTTATTTCTTATAAATCACGAACTTAAAAGATCAATTTTAATCAAATGTCCTTAAAACACTATGCATTTCCTTTTGCTCCTGTTCTCTCTAAACTTTTCAACCTTCTTTAAAGTCTGGTTCTTCATCTTGGATATAAGCCTGTCCCCAAAAAGGTGTTCACATTTCTTTTCCTTCTACTAGCGTCCGACAGCCTTCACTTCAGTCATCTCTAAAATCGTGGATTCTATAACACACCTTGAGGAACGCCACCTCTTCTCTGTTGTTTCAGCCACTCTTTCGTTGACTTCCTTCATTTGCTTACTAAATACCTTGACTTCACATTCGACAACTTCAAAGAATCTCATCTTGTTGTTCTTTGGTGTTTAATGTGGTATGGTGTCAGGCTCTTCGTGTAAAACTTCCCTCACTTGACCTCCCTGAAATATTATAACCTATCATCTCTCCGTTTCCTCAACCTCAGTATAGAAGCATTATATCATTTCTAATCATGCCGACCTCTACTCTATTCTGCCTAAGATCTATTTTGTCCAACAACATCGTTATTCACCTCCTTCATTCTTCATTCTCCCAAACTGTGAAATTCCCTTCTTTGTCACATATTCCCATCTGCCTATTACGTAAAGTTCCTCAAACATAGAACATTCAAATCTCCCTTATCTTACTACTAAACAGGTATTTTTATCTTTCATCCCCATAGTCACCTTGTCAGTAATATTGTCCACCAGCATCTCCAGAAACTATGAGCTTGTGAGCAATATGATCACCGTTATTACAATACGGTGCTCAATTTATTAGCTGCAGAGGGCTGTATGTATATTACTGTATTCTGGGGGCTACAATATTGCTGTATTCCGGGGGCTGTAGTAGACATATTACCAGATTAATAGCGACGAGTCCGGGATTGCTGATCCGGGTAAAACTTTAAACATCACTTCACTGTTTATCGTCAGAAGCGACGAATCGTGAGTGTTATGTTACCAGACACACGACTCGTCCCGCGTCCACCTCAGCCACAGTAATGTCAGGCACCAAAGTTGTGTAGTCCCAGTCTGGGTTTCACTCTGCCCAGGCGGCTCCTTGGTGGCTGGTTCGTAATTGATCCTGATATCCCATCTTAAGTCTAAGCCTTTCACTAGATTATTATCACACACCCCTCTGCTCCTGCTTCTCCTCACACAGGGTATAGTATTAAAGGCAGATGGAACTGGATGGTCTTGACGCCTGACAACTCCACGGTGGCGGAACGGGATAAAGGTCCAGTTGTGAACCTGGTGATGAAGTGTTCATGACTCGGTGCTTGTTGCTTGCAAAGATCCATCCTGTGGTTTGGTTGTGACGGGGGAGCGTACAGTAATTAATAGCGAGTTAGTCCTAGTAGATGATACCTCAATGCTAAACCCAGGATTTTAGTGAGTTGAGCTCGCTTGTGCACTTTGCTTTATTAGACCTCAAGATATCACCCTCGGGTGTAACAAGGCCAATATTAGCACAACTACTGTATTTCAGTATAGGCTGCGACTAGCAATGAAGAAACTGGAAACAGAGAATGAGAATCTGCGCAAGAGAACTGCTCCGTGAAACTGCCTGTCTGAGAATATAAACGTTTCCACTCGTTGCCAGGCTACAGAGTCAGAGGTCACTTCACTTGCATGCGTGAAGTTTCTCTGTGCCTCCCTGAGCACACATCTTGTCAGGACTAAGACCCTCCACTACTCGAAAATGCGAGTCCTGCTGGAAAGCCTTCCAGCAGTACCTCAAGGAGCAAGGATTTCCCACGCCCAGTGAAAGTGTAGTTCTAGAGTTCCTATCATCTCTAGCGCACGAGCGAGGCAAGTCTATCCCGACCCTCCCGTCCACCTGGCGACCCTCACCGACCCTCTGGATTACAGGTGGGGTGAAGGTTAATAACGGGTAGGTTACCCTGCTGAAGCGGGGCCAGTTCCACCAGCGACCATCTAGACCACCCTGGAACTTCCGGTCCTTGAAGAAAGTCATCACTCTTCTGCTCGGTAAGTACTACTTCTTCAGTCCTGTGAATTATACTGACAATCTAGCCTGAGGGCCTCTGGCCTTATGTTGTCTGTTTTTCCTATGTTCTTGTTACTATGAAGGTTTTACCATGACATGGATTAATCTGATAGCTGTCTTATCCCAGGATCCATTCACCATCCGACCGTCAAAGGACCGCCTACTACAGAAGGCCCTCTTCCTCATAGCGCTGGCCACAGGCTTCAGGTCCTCCCACCTCAAGGCACTCACGAGGTTCTACCACTGGACCTCCTTCGCCCAAGGATATTCTGCAGTGTCCCTGGGACCTTCTCCCACTTCCCTGGCAAAAAATGACCGGGAGAACCACAGGCTCCAGCCAGTACCGGTTCCAGCATGAAAGGTGGAAGGCGAGCATCACTGACTCTGCCTGGTCGGGACCCTCCGCCAATACTTCTCCTCTACGACCAATCACACCACCGGCCAGCATTATCTCGTCGTTCATCCTCGGTCAGGCCGCCCGCTGTCAGTCATAGGATTGGCAGACAGGTTGCGGCAGGTTATAGAGAAGGCTGACCCTGGGAAGGCCCCACGTTCCCATGACGCACGGGGTGTAGCGGCTTTCCTGAGGACCCACTCCCTCTCACAGGTCCGGGAAGGGGGTCAGTGGAAATCGGCCTCCTGCTTCATAGCAAGATATGTTTTACCGAGTGTCAGACGCACCCTGCGTGGCAATGGGTCTCTCCCCTCAACCCACAGACAGCACGCTAGAAAAATATTAATGTAGCTTAATCTAAAATAAATAAAATTCCAATAGTCCTGTGTGTGCTCACTGCTCCCATTACACCCTAGCACCCTCCTTCCTGTGGAATTTAGCAAAGTGCACTAGCGAGCTCAACTCACTAAAATAAGGGCTTTGAAGCTTGCTGAAAAGCCTATTTTTGGTGAGTGAGCGAAGCTAGTGTACGCACTTATTCCGCCCTTCCTTCGGCTCCATCCCCCTGCTATTCATGATATAGGGTTTTGGAAAGGAATGACGTCTGAGTTAAGTTCTCAGACAGGCAGTGACACGGCTCGGCTCTCTTGCGCAGATTCCCATTCTCTGTTTGTAGTTTCTTCCTTGCTAGTCGCAGCCTATACTGATATAGATATGTTAATATTGGCCTTGTCACCTCCTAGGGTGATATCTTGAGGTCTAATATAGTGCACTAGCTTCACTCACTCACCAAATATACGCTTTTCAACAAGCTTCAAAACCCCAATTATAAACTAAACCCGTCTTTATACTTCACACTTAAACCAGTACCTCATACCTATACCTCTACCTATACCTCTACCTCATACCTATACCTCTACCTCATACCTATACCTTTACCTGTATTTTTACGTCAGACCCAAAACTGTACCTGTACTGGTATCTCTGTATAAACTTCCTCGTACTGTGAAGACTAAGCATCACTTCTACTCTCAGAGGAGCCCGTGGACTACATGGGCCACCTGTTTACTGTGATGAGTATGCCGTACTTCCCCTACGCTGTGGTGACCAGGCACGAGACCACACAGAGGGCGCTGGGTCTTGGACAGTCTCTGGAAGCCTACATGTTAAACACCATAGCAGCTCACCTTAACTTTACGTAGGTTCATAATCTTACAGTAGGATGTAAGCGTGATGAAAAACACAGCTCATAGTACAGTACTGTATAATACTGTATGAGTACATGTGCAATTATTACCTTGCCTGAATTACAAAGAATAAAGTAATAATACTCAAAAAGTAGTAATATTCACCACAGGGGGTAAGGGGATCGAGAAAAGGGTTATACTCTTAAAAGTGTTGGCAATGTTGCATCATTCGGGAGTTAACCAATGGATCTTCACGTTTCTATTTAGGGAAATGTCTAACCAACAAATTTTTGCTGGTTTAAACCAGAGCCTGGGCTAACTCTGCAAAATTATCTTAATTATTGTTGACGTAAGGACCCTTCTTAACTTCCTTAGTTTAACTAATGTTCCTGCAAAAATGGTGTCATAATTGCACAAAGAACTGTCATATACGGGCATGTTGTCTCATCAGGTGTAGATAAAACATTACTCTAGAAATATTGGAGAACCCTAACCTAACCTAACCTCAGCTTGCACTTACCAGAGACCCACCAACTTAACCCAATGTAACTTAACATGACACAAACAAATCTGCATTGGTTGGATTTTGTCCATTTGATTATTTTGATGGTGAGATTTTATCTTTAACATTACTGTGAGTTTGGTATCAGGTATGCGATCCAGGAGCCGGAGGACGGGAATTGGGGAGTGGTCCTACCCGACGGTAACATGACGGGGATCGCAGGGTACCTACAGAGGCAGCAGGTGGATTTTTCCCTCTTACTATCAGCCACGACAACGAGAGACCAACAAATGCTCTTCACCCGGAGTTACAGCTACGAGGAGCTGGTCATTGTCTCTCTCAAGCCCCAGCCGCTGCCTCTCTACCTGTCGCTAATTAGACCTTTTACAGGTATGTCACTGTATACAGGAGGGGGTAGATGGGGGGTATCGTACAGTATAGGGATATACTGCGCTCCTCCTACCACCTATGACTCTCTATAGAACGATGGATATAACTTATTATGTGTAGTTGGTCAATTTTGTCAGAGATGCTTCACTGAAATTAATCATTATTCATCTTGTATAAGATAAGCAATACAGTATTCACTCTATGTTGTACTGAGCCATTATGGCATGAAACAAACAGGACATGAAGGATAAAAATAAACTATCGTGTTAAGGTGACCATGAGAGATGTCTAAAATTTAACCTCTAAACTCTGGTTATGATTGTGACCATTGGCTGACATTAGGAAGACAGTGTATGTTGTCCAGTTCTTTCCTCCCTCCTGCCAGTCCAGCACACGTCACAAGACTTACACAACTACAGCAGGGAACAAGTAGTGCCTCCCTCATGTCTGTCTCTCACATGAACGTTCTAAGGATTTTATGGCCAGGAACCTTGACAAAAATAATCTTAAAAAAAATCTTGTATGAATCAGATCAGAAAGTGTACAGTCACAAGGCCTCAGCGTATGTCCTGCCACCCATCACCACACCACCTAAGGCACTACCGATTATTTGTCCAGGAAACAGATGAAGACCACGACACACCGGCCTGACGACGCCATCCACAACACACATAAACAAGATACACATGTCAAATTAAACGTCAAAACAGAGGAAGGAGTAAAGGCTTCATCTCAATGGGTTAAAATATCTTAATATAACGGACCACAACTCCACAAACCTCACCAGGCTTTTCTTGTGACCGACTCCTCACACATCGACAAATTCCTAATATGCCGACACACCATTCGAGAAAGACCCTCAGAAAATATTCTTGTTCAAGGGGGGTGAGCACGTTAAAACGGTTAGACCAAGGTACAATACTTACATATCAAAGTCAAGACAATTGGAGCAGAAATGACGGAGTGGCAGTCTTGTAAATTGTACAGGGAAAAAAGAGAGTTAAAACCTGAACAAAGAGAATATACCATAACATATGACTGGGAAGAAATATAAAACTGCAGTCATGCACGAGAGCTCTTACCAGGATAATCAGAGACCACTCACACGGGGAGGTCAGACCGTATTGCGACAAGTAATAACATTTTGGTTTAATGCAGGTAATCAACCTTATAATATATTATTATCATTATTATTAATGTTATTATTATTGGTAAATTGGTAAATTTTTACTTTCGGACATGAGTTCCGAGAGGTTGACCAATATGTTTTTCCAGTGTATTTTGGTCTGTTTCAAGAGAATCTGACCTACATTTTTGGCGAAAATTACTCGTTTTTGCCCCACACCGACCCACCAACAATAATGGGGGAGAGCCTGGGAAATCGGGATTTCTGGGTGGGGGAGAACACGAAAACGAGTCATCTAACCTAACCTAACAAGTTAACGTAACGTAACCTAACCTAACCATACTCCTAGCCGGGGGCTCTGCCCCGGAACCCCGGTAGGCCTAGCTTAAACTAAACTAACTCTCAACAGACGTAGGAAGAACACCGTGATTACGTAGGAATTTGATAGCATGATCGTCTTTCTCGGAAAACTCGGCAGTAAACTTCAAATAATCGTAGGGGCACGAATCACACCCAACCTCCACCACGGCCATTGTCAGACTGGTGATTGAAATTCAAATCCGTACCCAGACTGCTTCCTTTGAAAAAATTCAAATGTGATTGCTCGAAAAAAATTCGCGTGATGAGATCGATACATCATTGGTCACGACTGGATGACGTCAGTCAACATTGAACATGCGTGATTTAAACACTCATAATTAACTCGGTTTCAGGCAGATAACATCTCTTCACAGACGAAGACTGAAAAGTTCGTAAAATCAATTATAATTCAATTGTGTCGCTATTTTCCATTTCCGAATAGTAAATATAGGGTTCAAAATGCTCAGAACAGGGAGATCTAAGTGTTTCAGTAGTTTATAACTTTGGGGCGCGCCATGTCCGAAAGTAAAACAAAACCTTCTCATTATTTTTTTCAACTTATTTGTTTTTTTACTTCTTTTTATTGTATTTTTTTTTTTTTTTACGGGGCCCACCTGGGCACAGGTCACTGACCAACATCAGGGCCTGGGGGAGGCAAAATGTAGTAGTAGTAGTACTAGTAGTAGTAGACAGATGACATTACTCTAAGGTACGGTTGGCCAGTAGAAGGTTTGCCCTCCCAATGCGTGTGTGGCTCTTCCTATGACGTCGATCACGCCATGGTGTGTAAGAAAGGGGCTTCATATGCATGAGGCATGACGAAATAAGGGACCTTACAGCAAATATGTTGAAGGAAATCTGCCGGGATGTCATGGTAGAACCGACCCTCCTTCCTTTGGACGGTGAGATCTTCCAACACAGGACTTCAAACACATCTAACGAAGCCCGTGTGGACGTCAGTGCTCGAGGATTCTGGACGCGGGGACAGCGAGCTTTCTTCGACATCAGGAGCTTTGATTATGGCCGCATGTCACCGTCACCTAGCTTTCGATACTGCACATAGGAGGAACGAGAACGACAAGATATATATGGGGAGAGAATTCAAAACGTTGATCAAGGCAGCTTCACTCCTCTAGTGTTCACAACCTCTGGTGGGATGGGACCAAGTTCAAGATGTTTCTACGCCAGACTCGCGGAGGTGATCTCCGAACAGAAGCAGCAGCCCAGAAGTTATGTTACAGCCTGGATGAGATGTCGACTGTCTTTCTTTCTCCTTCGGTCGGCTTTGCTCTGCTTCAGGGGAACGAGAGCTTCTGCCCCACTGCCGACAACTGCTGCAGATATCGACTATGAGGCTACAGTCACTGAACGCCGCATAGATCTGCGGCTCAACTAATTCAACACAGATAGGATAGTTTCTTATGTATTAGGAATGTATTAGGATATTTAATATTAAGGTAATAAAGTGGCGGCGAAGTTGTGGCTATTGGGAGAGGCTGGAGGCCACTTTATAAAAAAAAAAGCAGTAGTAGTAGTAGTAGTAGTAGCAGTAGTAGTAGTAGCAGTAGTAGTAGTAGTAGTAGTAGTAGTAGCAGTAGCAGCAGTAGTAGTAGTAGTATGTTTCTACGCCAGACTCGCGGAGCTGATCTCCGAACAGAAGCAGCAGCCCAGAAGTTATATCACAGCCTGGATGAGATGTCGACTGTCCTTCTCTCTCCTTCGGTCGGCTTTGCTCTGCCTCAGGGGAACGAGAGCTTCTGCCCCTACTCCGACAACTGCTGCAGATATCGACTATGAGGCTACAGTCACTGAATGCCGCATTGATCTGCGGCTCAACTAATTTAACACAGATAGGATAGTTTCTTATGTATTAGGATATTTAATATTAAGGTAAATAAATGGTGGCGAAGGTGTGGCTATTGGGGGAGGCTGGAGGCCACGTTTAAAAAAAAAGTAGTAGTAGGGCAAAAGGCCTCATCCTTAATAAACAAGAATTCACAGATGCCAATGCTCTAAGGTACAGTAGGCCAGTAGAAGGTTTGCCCTCCCGATACGTGTGCGGCTCACCTTATGACATCGACCGCACCATGGTGTGTAAGAAAGGGGGCTTCGTATGCATGAGGCATGACTAAGTAATGGATCTAACAGCATATCTACTGAAGGAAATCTGCCACGACGTCATGGTGGAACCGCCCCTCCTTTCATTGGACAGTGAGAATCTCCGTCACAGGACTTCAAACACATCCAACGAAGCCCGTGTGGACGTCAGTGGTCGAGGATTCTGGACACGGGGACAGCTAGCCTTTTTTGACATAAGGATTTTTTATCCCATGGCCGCATGTCACCGCAACCTAGCTCTCGATGCCGCACACAGGAGGAACGAGAACGACAAGATTAGGTCATATGGGGAGAGAATTCAGAACATAGATCAAGGCAGCTTCACTCCTCTGGTGTTCACAACCTCTGGCGGGATGGGACCAAGTGCAAGATGCTTCTACGCCAGACTCGCGGAGGTGTTATCTGAACAGAGGCAACAGCCCAGAAGTTATGTTACAGCCTGGTTGAGATGTCGACTGTCCTTCTCTCTCCTTAGGTCTGCATTGCTTTGCCTCAGGGGAACGAGAGCATCGGCCCCAAAGCCGACAACAGTCGCAGATATCGACTTTGAGGCAACAGTCACTGAATGCCACATAGATCTGCGGTTCAACTAACTCAGTACAGCCAGTGTAGCTACTTCTGTATTAGGATAGTAAATTTTAAGGTAATAAATGGCGGCGAAGATGTGGCTATTGGGGGAGGCTGGAGGCCACGTTTACAAAAAAGTAATAATTATAATAATAATAATAATTCATAATAAATAAAATTTATAATAAAAAATACGAAATTTATAATAAATTAATAATAATAATAATAATAATAATAATAATAATAATAATAATAATAATAATAATAATAATAATAATAATAATAATAATAATAATAATAATAATAATAATAATAATAATAATAAACCATAAAGAAATAAAAAAAATAAAGAAAAAGACCAAAAGTGAGAAACAATATATGTTTGTTGTGTTGTCAAGAGTAAGAGAAACAATTGAGACCCTGCAATTGTGTGTAAATGAGGCAGAAAGTCAGATCAGCAACCTGGGACTTGGTCACAATTTTCGTGATGCCATATGGCAGCAGGGTCTACCATTAGACAACACATTGTGCGTCCAATATCTTCCCAGGCTGTAGTACCTCCCTGTTTGGTAGCTGCCTCCTACCTATACTACCTACTGCTATAACCCATTACTAATTATCACAGCAAAAATATGGCAGCTGTTGTTGGTGGGCGTCTTATCGTGGGCCATTACCTTGTGGCTGCTGCAGAAGGCGTGGTCGAAGGTGTCGGCTGGTCGTCGTCATCTTAGGCTCACTGTAGCCTTCTTCTACAGCGGGGGTCTACTGCTTGAGGACCCCCCCAACAATCCACCCTCCAACATGGTAGCCCGAGTGAGTTTATTATCGCGTACTGTACTCTTATATACCAAGAAGTGACAGGTGTTGTGGGCTGACGATATCCTCATCAATACCTGCAGTGAAGATAAAGTTGATGGTTAATTTGATGACTGTAGGTATTTGTAAGGCTATGTTTACCTATTCCTAATCCTAAACACATATTGCAGATATTGATTGCATGGTGGCTATTGTTCTGCATGATCATCACATCGGCCTATCGCTCCTCCCTCATCGCTCACCTCACCGTCCAGGGCTGGTCGTTGCCTATAGATCACTGGGAAGACCTCCTAAAGAAAGATGACTGGACCTGGGGAACTGAGACTTCGATGTTTACAAGTGCTGCCTCTCTCTACTTCACCATGAACCCAGATCCAGTAGTAAGGCAGATATATGACCAGTATGAGGTGAGAGTTTACTTACAGTGTGTTACAGGTGTGAGCAGCAGGTAGGTACAATAGGTAGAGACAGAGACAGGCAGACAAACAGACAGAAACTTTAGAAAGAGAGACAAGCAGACAGATGGTTAAGTAAGTAGAGAGAGGCAGATAAAAAGAGAGAGAGGAGAGACTAGAGTGAGTGTGTGGCGAGACATAATCAACAGGTACTGACCCACATCTTAATTATTCCCCCAAGAGGCAAAATAATAATAATATTATTATTCTTATTATAATTATCATTATTATTTCAAATACTGAAAAATACCTAAAAATAATAAGCTGTGGCCGCACTACCCCTAACAGGTTGCCAGTACTCACCCTTTTTATTAGGTACAACAGGAGGCATTGTAGTCGGCACGGTGCTCGATCGTCTACATTTCTACATTTGTTAAGTTAGGTATCCATTAACAGCTGGGCGCGAACTGGTGCCTACAAGTAAAAGCGAGCGTTGTATCCCCTCAGCCTTCACATCGTGTTTACCACAACCGGTGATATAACTAATTCCAGTGTGTCTGAAATGATATGAAGAACTTTGAGCATTTTCATATACATCACTCCAGCCGAGAGAAACAAAATGTCATTTCATTACAAGTCATGTCGATATTTTTAAATTTGTCTTATGAAATAAGTTTATATTGTTAGATACGTCACAAATTACAATACTTCCTTTGTTTTTTAAACCACTGACTGTAATAAACATTGCCTATAAAACAGCCACGATTTATTAGATGTTACTCAAATATTACGATGACAGAAAGAAAGTAGGTCAAGATCCTTATTGGGGCGACTTTACACAAATATCCATAATGTAACAATAACGTGAAACAACTTAACTTACATACCACACAAACAACTCATAAATCCTATTAATGAATGTTGATAACCTCTGCCAGCAAGCATGGTGAGTGACGTCACGCTCCCATGGCTGGTGCTCTGTGTGTGTGTGTATATATACAGTATATTATATATATATATATATATATATATATATATATATATATATATATATATATATATATGTATATATATATATACACACACACTATATACAGTATATATATATATATATATATATATATATATATATATATATATATATATATATATATATATATATATATATATATATATATATATATATATATATATATATATATATATATATATATATATATATATATATATATATATATATATATATATATATATATATATATATACACACACACTGTATGTGTGTGTGTGTATAATGATCATGGAATATGTCTGGTACAGACGGAGAGCCCGGATGTAGGGTTGCAGAAGGTGCTGGCGGGGAAGCACTCAATCGTCTCCTGGGAATATTACATCACAGACATCATCAACTCCCACTACTCCGACCAACACGGCCAACATCCTTTCTACATCAGTAAAAGAGGCTACCTACAGGGCAGCGGCTACGCTTGGTCTTTTAGGTAATATTATATAATTTTAAAACTGTAAAATTGTTTGACAATGAGCTGCGCAATTACTTAGATCTTCGTTGAAATTATAAATCACTCTCCTTATTTAGTTGATAATCTCTCTACCCTTTCTCTTCACCGTAATGTTGCTTCACTCTTTCTCTTTTAGAGGCACTTAAATGGGCAATGTTCGGCAGATTTGGCATCCTGTGTACCGCCAGCAAGGCCATGGGCTCGTAACACTCGTCTTGCCCTCGGTGCCCACTGTTTTTCTGTGGCTGTCGGTCGCGCTAGAATATAGTAGAATAGCCCGTTATAGACTTATAGTACATCCTTCATTCCTCACACAGCCAAACTGTGGAATGCCCTGCCTTCTTCTGTTTCCATACTCATACGATCTTTCTCAATTCAAAAAGATGGTTTTCCGGCATCGTGGTGTAGATTAATATAATCTTTTTTTTTTCTTTTTTCTTTTTTTTACTCTCATTTGTTCGTCCCTAGGCCCCGTTGCGGGTCGATGACCTGTGCCCGGGTGGGCTATTCCCCGTAAAAAATAAATATATAAATAAATAATAAATAATCCCAGTCTCCCATTCAGTCTCACTTTTTTTTTTCGATTTCGTTGGTCAAGACTGTTGTGGCTGAACAGTCTCCCAGCCACATAATATCCTTCACCTTCATTAGTGATGCTTCAACCTGAATCACCATGGGAGTCAAGCCTCGCTTACTGGTGGTCCTGACTCCCATAATGGTGGCCCAGGTTCATGCCCTCGGTGGTGCAGTGAGGTGTGTGTGTGTGTGTGTGTGTGTGTGTGTGAAATAAATCATCAGCCTATATTGGTCCACTTCGGGTGTAGGTACACCCCCCATGATTCCAGTTTAGTCTTCTGTCCTGAGTCTTTCCTTCCAATAAAGTTCACTATACCCCATAGCTGAACGAACTACTCGCCACCAGCTCCCCGTTGTCAAAAAGCTGACCAGCGAAGCGGCCCTGGTGGGCTACCCCAAGACCCTACCAAAAGAAGTACGACTGGAATGGGAAACCACCCCAGTTAAAACATATGTTGCCAGACCCACACGATGTTATACGTGTCAGCAATATGGACACCCAGTCAAGAAGTGCCAGGCTCGGGAGGTATACGTCGAGTGCGGGACCAGAGGGCACCAGCACACCACGTGTAACAAGACGAAGAAATGTGCAGCTTGTAGCGGCCCACACTCCTCCGACCGGCAGTGTCCCAAATGGAGGTTGGAGTGGAGGGTAGCCAAGGTGCAATCCGAGAAAATGAGCTCCCGGAAGCCCTCCTTGTAGTTAAGAAACAAGTGAACAAAGAAATAAACGAAGAAAAGAGGAACAATAGGACGACGAAAACCAAGAACAAGAAAGCTAGGAACAAATGTGGTCCGTTCAAAAGAAAAAGAACAAAAGGAAAAGTTCATCAATATAACAAGTCTAATGCGTAATAACCTAGCAGTTGACGGCCAGAAAAATAAAGCAATCAATTAACCAATCAATCAAAATACCCCATAACGTCATAACTCCATCCCTCCACATACTGCCCGGTCTTGTGTCTGTTATTTATCTCTGGGAAACTCAGTTCCCTGGTGGTTTGTCCTTATCATAACAAGAGCTCCTTACTACTGTTTCCTTCCCTCGCAGTAACATCTCACCCTGTGATTGGATATCTTACCCCCCCCCCCCTTTAGGCACTATAAGTGTTATTTCTAGTTACATCTCTTCATAGTTTTTTTCAGTATTTAGAAGCGCTTAAATATTTGTATTCAAATGCCATAAGTAACAGCTGTACCTCACCACGTTACACATGGTGAGGTACAAACATGCTCATCCCTGTACTATTTTTAGTTTGTTACCACACACGAACTGTAAAGATACTTAATGTTTACACTAACAACAACTTTTATTTATAAGTTTTGGTTGTCAGCAATTTATTTTATTGTATTTTTTCTCACTGACTTATTTTCTCAACAAATTCATTTGGATATTATTATCGTTTCGGTCATCCACCGAATTTTAGGAGGTTAGGTTAGATACAGTTCCTGGGTTCTTTGGCTTGATTAGGTTAGGTTGGTTCGGTTAGGTTAGGTTGGTTCGGTTAGGTTAGGTAAGATTAAAATAATTCAAAACACGTCGGAAAAACATAGGGATGATCGAAACGATACTTTTACTTTTTTTTTTTTTTACAAAATCTTAAAAACAATAAAAATAAACACGAAAAGATTCAGACCAATCATCCTGCAAACTAGAAAAACTGGACCACGTGGTGTCGCCTAGTTAGATACAGTTCCTAGGTTCTTTGGCTTGATTACATTACACGATCATACATACAACATACCTACGTACATTAAAGGGTTCTTACCTTGATTTAGCGAGCTGTGCAGCAAAGCCAGAATAATAATAACCCCATAAAATTAGGTGTGAGTGACCATGATGGTTTGGTGACAAGGTTGTGAGGTGGAGTACTGCGGCGCGTCGGACGTCGTCTTGTTTAATGTATAAGTTTGGTAAAGGCGGTATCACACGACGTTACTTCCGGCAACTTTTATCGAGCAACTCATTATCGGTATTTTAATTTCGACATAACTGAAAGAATCGTTATCAAAAGGAGCAGAATCCATACCGTTGATGATTTCACCACCAACGCAGTTCAAAACAACCATGATGGACGACGGAGATTCGGTGACGCTTGCTGCAAATGAAGCACACCTCAAATTGGTTTTAGTGAAGAGAGCATCTCTGTGGTCTCATAGACTTCAGCGTGCCAGCGAAAGTTCTACTAGGGAAATTTCGGACTCCCTGGTCCACGTAAAATTGGTGGGAGAACTCATGTTACTGCAGGTATACAGTCACTCAAAAGAGTCATGTCGCGAACCATGAACCCCGAGATTCAGACTCTTGAATCCGAAGCATTTATGGACAGAATAATGCATCAGTGTTGAGGAGTAGAGCAGCCACAAAGCGTAAACATTGGAATGTCAAGTCAGCTATTATTGTAAAACTGGGTTTGCTTACGTAAAATTATTTAGCTATTCTCGTTAAATAATACATTACACGGTTTAAAAATATACCTATAATTATATTTTTTTCAAATTAAATATAACACCAATTCTCTTTTGACTCACTCAAACTCTGCAGCTTGTGAAGCCAGGAAAAGATTTGATTGGAACTTCCGCTCTGCCAGAATATACCAGTCAGTAACTATCCTAATTTTGCTGCTGATATTGAATTGCCAAATTAATGTTGCCCGAAAAAGCGCTCGTGTATACTGCCTTTAGGTTAATGTCACACACAGGTCACATTAGTGGTCCACAACTCATGGAGGAATTGTTTATTATTTAGAATGCCATACCAGTTTGTTCATGTTTCTCCTGTAGGCTCGGGGCGCCCTACTATCGTCCAATTAGAGACCTGGTGCATCGACTGGAAGAGGTGGGTCTGGTGTCGCAATGGTTGAAGGAAGTCATGGCTACACGGAAAAGGAAAGGCAAGGGAGTAGTCACAAACAACGACCAGGTAGGAAGACATTTACCGTTACATCGCTTCTGTTGTATTAAATTAAACAACCTGTAAACAATGAGCTTGCGTGACCCTCATCTTTAATTATCCTAACACCTCGTGACCATGTGATTGTCAACAACCTCCTCATTACGTGCGTTCCTTTACTAGTGTTATTTAATTATTTCTTATTAGGTAATTTTTCTTTTGTCATCAAGATAACCGGTTAACTCACTCCTCAGAGCACCGACGGGCAGGTGGTGTTGGGACTGCACCACCTACAAGGCACCTTCTATCTTCTCTTTATGGGATATGGCATCGCCCTCCTCATCCTGCTGGGGGAGAACCTCGCGTGCTGTTACTCCCGACGTCAGAACTCTGGACAGTAACAAAAGAACGTTTCACACTTCCGCATCAATTATCGGGAACAATAATAGTAAAAACATTTCCCTTAACCTGTTGGGAACGAACAACCTCACCTGCTGGGAAACAAACAACCTCACCTAGTACCACAACAACAAATGGATTCATATTTAGGTTTGAATGTGATGGAGAAGAACATCATCTGACATGATATATATGAAACACATTCTGTATCACCTGTGGACACCAGACACACGTCATGTTCAGTACTAAATAGTAATAAATAATAATAATAATAATAATTAACGGTTTATTGAAAGAGCTTGGCAGCCAGAAGGCTGAAAATATACAGTTACATATTTGGGGAATGGGTTACGAATTACAAATAATATACAAGTGACATAAGTGACACAAATAAGACATATAATAACTTAGATGGGGATCAGCTCAAACTACAGTTCATTTCAGCATAGTGACAGTGTAGGGAGCAGTGTTTACTGGGAGTGAATACACTGATTTATTACATGTTATTGATAATTTTTACAATGGTTGGGACTGGGCTGTTCTTATAGCGATCAGTTCGTGCACGTATGGGCTGGATGCGGTTGTGGTGTCGAACAGCAATTCTCGGACAGGGGATCTCAGGTGGTAGTAGGGGCCGGTGTCGGGGATGGTGTAGAAGCTTCTTACCAAATTTGCAGATGAGGCCGTGGTGATGGTCAGTGAGAGTCGAAAGGGTCAGTGTGTTGAGCGCTTCTTGATATGTGGAGTAGGAAGGGGAGAGAATAATCTTGCATGCCCTCTTTTGCACTTTTTCTAGGTGTTTACGTTGTGTGGCATTTAGGGAGGAAGACCAGGTGGGGGAGGCATAGGTGAGCTTGGGAAGTATGAATGTTGTGTATACACTGAGGAGCTCGTGTGCAGGAACTCCGAGGGACTTGAGTCGGCGGAGGAGGTGGAGACGGAAACTGGAGGATTTGACAACTTCACTGACGTGTGGTTTCCAATTTAGTTTGTTGTCTATGGTGACGCCGAGGAGCTTCGTGGAATCTACAACCTGGAGTGTGTTCGGACCTAGGGTAATGGAAGGAGGTGGGACAATGTCGGAGGAGAGGTTGATGTGCATAACCATGGTCTTGGTATGGTTGATGGTGACATGGTTGTTGGTGGCCCAGTTTTGGAGACTGTTCAATAAATCCTGAAGGGCGGTATAGTTGGGAGCAGAATTGTTGACGCTGATCCCAATGGTGGAGTCGTCGACATATTTCCAGCGAGCTGGGGTTTCTCTTAGGGCATCATTGATGAGCATAAGGAAGCAGAGTGGTCCCATCTTGGTGCCTTGGGGGACGCCACAGGTGAGTGACTGAAAGGTGGAGACAGCCCCTCGGAAGCGTACAGCTTGGCGTCGGTCACTGAGGAAGTCTGTAAGCCATGGTATGAGACTTCTCCGAAGCCCGAGGTCAATAGCTTTGTTTATGATTATATTGTGGTCGACTAGGTCGAACGCTTTAGTGAAATCAATGAAGGCGACAGCTACAGACGTTTTTCGTTTCTCGAGATGGCGGTATATGTAATCGAGAAAGCTGACAAGACAGTGAGTGGTGGAGGAAGTTTTCATGTTGCCAAATTGCTGAGGGTCTACGACTCCTGCAATATCAGCATAAGCCCAGTCAAACACAAAACTTTCACAGATTAGGCTGGGTATTGGGGTGATTGCAATAGGTCGTAGCTGATTTAAGGATTGTGGGCTGGTTGACTTGGGCACTGGTGATACATAAGAGGTCTTCCAGTCAGCTGGGCATCTGGCTTGACTGAGAGAAGCATTGATGATGGAGCAGAGGGGTTTAGCAAGCTCCGGGGAGAACTCCTTGAATAGTTTCATTGGTAAGTCAATGGGGGTGGTAGAGCGTTTTAATTTTAGTTTGTCCAGGCGTTTTGCTACGTCAAATTCTTCTACTAAGTCAGTGGGAAGGGGGGCTGGTAGGTAAGCAGGGAGAGTGGTTGTGTCAAGCCGTGGGAGCGTCTGGCATATAGTAGCGAAATGGTTATTTGTTTGCTCAGCTGCGTCAACATTAGTGAGATGGCTAAGGAAGGGGAGGGGGTGTGTCATATTGTTTAGTCCACAGAGTTCTTTAAGCTTACCATACCATTGACTGATGTTGGTCTGCTTCAGGTGTTGTAATTTGGTTGGGTAGTGGGACTTCTTTGCAGTGCGTATTTCGCGGATGACTCTGTTGCGAAGTGACCTGTAGCGGATGTGGTCATTGAGATGAAAGGCTCTGTCTCTCTGTTGCATAAGTCTTTTGATCCGAGGTGTGATCCAGGGCAAGTCAGCTGGGTGAGATCTGACGGACTTCTCGGGGAAGAAGTGGTGGTGAGCTTCCGTGGTGGTGTTGGTATAATTTATCCATTTGGTTTCCACGTCATCCACGCTAAGTACTTCAGTCCAGGGATAGTGAACTATCCACTGCCCAAAGAGGCGCATTGCAGAGTCAGTAATCGGCCTGTAGGTCTTGATGTAGGGTCTCTGTACTTGAGTGGGAGTGGCAGCAGGGGACCAGAGCACTGATAAGTGTGTGCTACACCCGATAGGAGGCAGTGGTTGAGGAGGTTGGTACTGGTCCGCTAAGTCAGTTAAGATAAGGTCAAGGGTGTTTTGACCGTGTGTGGGGAAGGTCACAACTTGTGATAGTGATAGCTGGTCCTGGATATCAGTGGTGTCAATTTCATTTAAATCCCCACATAATACTAACTTGGCACATGGGTACCTAACTCTGAGGTGGTCTGAGGTGGTGATGAGATGATTGATAAGAGTGTCTCTGGTGGGTGATCGAGGCGGATGGTATGCCACACAGATTATAATGGAAGCAGTGTTGCGTGGGTGTGCCCGCAGCACGACACGTACCCATAATGCTTCCACATCTGCTGGGACTTGAACATCCAGGCGTGACGGGCGTAGGTCATCTTGACAGAAGAGGGCAACGCCCCCTCCGCGTCTTTGTGAACGAAGGTGATGAAAGAGTTGATATCCCTCAATATGACACGTTTCAGGTACAATTTGCCAAGTCTCACATATGGCAACCACGCGCGCGGCGGTTGACCTGACTGTAGTTGCCAGCTCGTCGAACTTGTTAGCTAGGGAAGTGACGTTGGATAGCAGTAAAGACGGGAGATCATACCATATCCGTGGAACTTCAGTGTGGTGGTATGGTCTGTCAGGGGTGGGTTTCTCCGGTTTCCTAGTGGAGGTTACGGTTCTAATGGGCTTATGTGCATGACGGCCTTGTCTACGGCTCCGCGCGTGGAATATTTTCAGTGACTTGAGTAGCGCGATAACACTGCCATCAGGATAACCGTTCCCACGCCTTAGATGGTACAGAGTGCGTCGGGAGTAGGTGATTGGTGGCCATCGGTTGAAATCTGTTGTGGGCGGACGGAAGTGTTTGTCACTGGCGGCACTTTGAGGGACACTGACACTGGTAGACATCTGTTAATATTTGTCAGTTGTAAAGACCGTGGACTTTGTCCTCGGTGCTTGGGGTCGCCGACACAGTTTTCACGATATATGTCAACACCGCGGTGGTCCTTGTCACTGGCACTTTAAAGTTGACCGATAAAGTGCCCACTGTCCGACCTTACCTTGGGGTGCACTATCGAGCACTGTATGGTAATCACTTATTGCACTGATGGCTAGAATGTTTTGCCGAGAAAGTTCCTTAAGTGCACTATAGGAACACTGCTCCGTGATCAATCGTTCACTAATCACTAGAATGTTTTGCTGAATCGATCCTGGTGTAGTAAGGCTGGTAGGGCGTTGGGGTATAGCAGGGGGAGTGGGCAGGGCCAAACAGATTCGGCCTGGCTACTAGAACCGAGAGCGCCTTCGAGCACGTCTTATCTTACAGAGGGTGATTCAACTTCTTAATATTGTGATAATAATCTTCAAAGCGGCAGAAATCATTGAAACTTTCTCGATTATTTAACTTCTAACATTAATAAGTATGTATTAGTAAATCAATAAAATTTGAAAGATGTTTTATTTACATGTTAATACGTATAGGAAATAAAGGTTGATAGATAACGCCCCAGGGTGTGTAGTGTAGTAGCTGATATTTACTACAGTTGAAGGCAGGTATGTAGCGGGTTTCAGGTATAGAATGACAGGTTTGTAAACTCTTGGCACACACTGCCAGAGAGTGTGACAGCCCCGAGAGTGAGCTCCTTCAAGACCAGACTTGACCAACACTGGCGCAGGTGCAGATACATTCTGGAGCCAGTTCTTGCCCAGTACTTGCCAATGACGACATGCAGCCTGTCTGGCAATGAGGATCTGTTTGGTGGGGTTCTTTGCCAGCCAGCCATTCACCTCAGCCAACCAGCCGTTCACTTCAGCTAGTCAGCCGTAAACCTCAAGCCAGCCTCAGAGAGCCAAACAATCTAAAATAAATAACAAACTCTTCCCCGCATCCACACACACTCCCTCCCATCCACCCCCTCCTCCCATCCACACACCCTCCTCCCATCCATACATCCTTCCTTCCATCCACATACCCTACCTCCAATCCACACACCCTTCCTCCCATCTACACACCCTAGAAAGAAAAATAAATTAATATTTGATGATTTTGATATTCTTCATGAGCAAAGAGCGAGTCATCAGTCGAACATTAACTCACGTCTCACGGCCTAAAACCCCAAATAATAATAATAATAATAATAATAATAATAATAATAATAATAATAATAATAATAATATTTATAATAATAATAATAGTAATAATAATATTAGTAATAATAATAAAAATAGTAATGGAAGTATTACGCTTATGCTAACCGTGGAAGCCAACTGCGTGTTTGGTTGTGGACTAGTTTAGTGACGTAAGAGCGGATCGTTGACGAAGCTTCGAAACTCATGACTAACTTTAGTTAATGATTATCAGTTTTATTTTAGCTAATGGTGGATAGAAGTGATTTAAGAAAATTAATGAGATTATAGATGACGGACCAATCGTGTATGGTGTTCTTT